AGACCTAATTCCATTAGCAAAAGCAATATACGTATTTAGCATACCCCATTTATAAATTATGCCATTCCCAAGGAAATTTGTATTTATAAGCTTTAATTGGTTACAACTTACAAGTGAGCGACCCACCTAACGTATTATATCAAAATTTATTTGATATTATTCGTATCCAACAAAAGGTGAAAAGTGAGAGATGTCTTCGTCTTCATGCATGCATCAGAAGAAATCAAAATGGCACCCATTAAAGCCTGCTTTCCATACAATAAGAATTTTTAAAAATAAATGATTAATACCGGCAATACATCAGCAATTTCTAGATGAAAGAAGGTATAATAGTTGTTAAACTAATAATTCTCTTACTTGGGTCAACGGTTACAAGCATGCCGGTGCCACCGAACGTGCACGAGCCACCGGTACCTTTGGTCCGTTGCCAATAGCTATTGAAGGCGAACGAAGCATGGGCCCACAATGTATTAGGCTTAAAGCAAGGCCCGTTGGGCTGAATTGGATGACAATCAGCTCCTGACCCACATGCAAAGTTCATGGCTTCTTGTATAATTGGGTCAGGGACCGAGGGCTTAGCTACGCACCAGTAAGCCGAGGTCGGAGTCACGCTCGGTGACGGTGGCGCCATAGGCGGTGGATAGACGATCGGAGGAAGAAACCCCGATGATGGACTTGGAATTGATCCGGTAGGTGTTGATGGGCCTGGTTCAGAGTAAGGTGGGCCTAAAATAGGCCCTGGTGTATAACCAGATTCTGGAGGGCTAGGAACTGTTTCTGGCGGGTTTGGGCTGGAGGATTCAGGCGGGTATGGGATGGTAATGGGTGGGTTTGGATTAGAGGATGACTCTGGTGGGTTTGGGTTAGAGGATGATTCGGGTGGGTTAGGACCGGTAACGGGTGGGTTTGGATTAGAGGATGATTCGGGTGGGTTTGGGTTAGAGGAAGAATCCGGTGGGTTTGGGTTAGAGGATGATTCCGGTGGCTTTGGGTTTGAGTTTGGATTAGAGGATGATTCAGGTGGGTTCGGGTTAGAGGATGATTCGGGTGGGTTGGGGTTGGAGTTCGGGTTAGAGGAGGAATCGGGTGGGTTAGGTAATGTGATTGGGCCGGGAGGTGGGCTAAGACCAGGATAAGAGGTGGAAGGAGGAGTAAGTGGGGGATTAACGCAGAAAGGAGGGGCATTTCCGGGAACTGAAAGTGGGGGAAGTGAAACATAGGGAGGTAGAGTGAGAGTGGTGCTAACGCCATAAGGTTGAGTGTTGGAGGATGAAGAATAGTCTAAAGGCTGAGCAAGATTGAGCTGTGTCAACATTTTCTCTAACAATGATGTGTGCTTTAATGCTTTGATCATCATCACCTCCTTTGGCTGTCTCTCAAATCCCTCGCTTTTTCTTGCATCTACTACTATATAAGAAAATCATAATCAAAATCAAATGCTTTTAGGTATAGAGATAGATAGAGAGAGAAAAAAACAGAGAGAAAGAGAGAGAGGTTTACCACAATGAGTCAAGAAGTTGGTTGAGAGAATTACACAAAGAAGAAGACAAATGGTTGCGAAGGCTCTATTTGATGCCATGGTTTTAAGATGAAGACCAAAAGAGAAGCTAAATCTTCAGAAGTAAAACCAAATAGGCATTAGCTACACTCTCAAGAGGAAGAAGACAAAGAAATAGGACCAAGATAGCTTAAATATTTGTCTCTTCGCTCTCTCTTTCTATATATATATATATATATCTTGTGTGGGTGTCTTGTGCATGTGTAGAAGCCAAAACAAAACAAAAAACTCAAAGAATCCTTGCAAGGCAACCTGTGGAAGGATATAAGGTTCTGTTTCTCATAAAGATTCGCACTTTAGCTGGTTACTTTCGTTGTCACAGAAGATCACTTTACTACAGACAGACAATTAATGGATATATAACTGTCTAAATTATGTTTATAGTAGAAGAATATACACATATGAATGTATGCCAATGGGGATATATGCTTGCTTGACAGTGCAAAAACAATCAGAGAGGAAAGCTGTTTATAAATAAACTTTTGCTTGCTTTGTACTCAAACAAAGCTCTTTTACATTTATCTTTTTCTTGACTACATCCATTTGCATAAGCTTCACATATTCCTCTTTAGATGCTCTTTTCTCTGCAGACTAAAGGCTTGCAAATAATATAATTACACTTTACAAACCAACTGATGAGTTCTTCACTATTTAATTGCTTGATCCTTTTACAGCAATGCATCCAAGTAAATCCTTGATCTACACAACAAATCAAACGAATGTACAAAACCAAAGACATTATTGAGAAATTCCAGTATTTAGTTAATTGCTACCATCAATATATTTTCAGTTTAACAGTAGATAACTAAAAAAAACAAGTTAGAAGAGTGATGATGGTGTTATTGGATCCAAGTTTAAGTCTAGAGTGCTACATTTGAAATGATATGATTTACTTTTCATGGATCCGCCATAGTATTTTGATAAGAAAAACATTTAAATAAATTTGTAGTAAATTGTTTTTTTTTTTTTCTTTTCTAAACGTTAAAATGATTTTTTTTTTTTTTGTAATTTTATTATAGGAACGAGCCTGTAATTACTAATATCTATTTTGGGAATACCAGTGCTTCTCTTCTAAAGCCTCTGGTTTTAGGGTTTAAGCCGACGAAGAGACCGAAAAAGCCATATCTGGAGACCAGGTTCGGATTGATTCCTCAAATTTCAATTCTTCGCATTACATGACCCTATAATAATTCCTTCTCTACATCTTCGATGATCCGTGGAAGAACCGCGAAAATATTTCCCAGAAATGTCATTTTTACGCTTAGTAGGAGTTCCATTTCTGAGGCTCTGGGTCGAATAAACCCTAGATTAGCCGGTAGTTTCTCCTTCAACATCCGATTATTGAGCTCTTTCACTGTTAGAAATGGCTTTTGTCCCGATTGTTCTGTACCTAGAGACCCTAATTTTGTTGGATTGACTACACAAAGTCGGAGTATTGTCAGGAGATTTTGTAGTGAAAAGAGTGGAGGTAGTGAATCTAGTGGCTGGACAGAGGAGGTAGAGTATTTAGATGAGTCCGGTAGTGTTTTACACAGCGGTAAAGGAATAAGATCAGTAGAGCCAGGGCTTGATGACCATGTAATGGTTGGTGGGTTGAAGAAGCCTTACATGAATGCTTCTGCTGTTGCAAAGATTGTTGAAGTTGTCCAGAGGTGGAAATGGGGACCCGAGTTGGAGACTCAGTTGGATAAACTCCAGTTTGTTCCCAATATGGTTCACATTACGCAGTCTTTGAAGATTGTTAAAGAGGTTGATGCGGCCTTGAGTTTGTTTAGGTGGGCTAAGAAGCAGCCTTGGTATCTCCCTTCAGATGAATGTTATGTCGTGTTGTTTGATGGGTTGAACCAGGGCAGAGATTTTGTTGGGATTCAGTCCTTGTTTGAGGAGATGGTTCAAGACTCGAGTAGTCACGGTGATTTGTCGTTTGGTGCGTATAACCAAGTGATTCAGTATTTGGCTAAAGCTGAGAAACTGGAGGTTGCTTTTTGTTGTTTCAAAAAGGCTCAAGAGTCGGGATGCAAAATTGATACGCAGACATATAATAATCTAATGATGTTGTTTCTGAACAAGGGTCTGCCGTATAAAGCATTTGAGATTTATGAGAGCATGGAGAAAACTGATAGTTTGTTGGATGGGTCAACTTATGAGCTGATAATTCCAAGCTTGGCCAAATCTGGCCGTCTTGATGCAGCTTTCAAGCTTTTTCAGCAGATGAAAGAAAGGAAACTCCGACCAAGCTTTAGTGTGTTTTCTTCACTTGTTGATTCAATGGGAAAAGCTGGTCGATTGGACACATCAATGAAGGTTTACATGGAAATGCAGGGATTTGGCCATAGGCCATCAGCAACTATGTTTGTTTCCTTGATTGATTCATATGCTAAAGCTGGTAAGCTGGATACTGCTCTTAGGCTTTGGGATGAGATGAAGAAGTCAGGTTTCAGGCCTAACTTTGGATTGTACACAATGATCATCGAATCTCATGCAAAATCAGGAAAGCTTGAAGTAGCAATGTCAGTTTTCAAAGACATGGAGAAAGCTGGATTTTTACCAACACCTTCCACATATTCGTGTCTATTGGAGATGCATGCTGGATCCGGGCAAGTAGACTCTGCAATGAAGATCTATAACTCCATGACTAATGCTGGGTTAAGGCCTGGCCTGAGCAGTTATATTTCACTTCTTACACTTCTGGCCAACAAAAGACTCGTCGATGTTGCCGGGAAGATACTACTCGAGATGAAAGCAATGGGGTATTCCGTAGATGTCTGCGCTAGCGATGTTTTGATGATATATATCAAAGATGCGTCTGTGGATCTTGCTCTGAAGTGGCTGAGGTTCATGGGTTCTTCAGGGATCAAAACAAACAATTTCATCATCAGACAGTTATTCGAATCATGCATGAAAAATGGTCTATACGATTCAGCTAGGCCTTTGCTCGAGACACTCGTGCATTCTGCTGGAAAAGTTGACTTGGTGCTTTACACTTCGATTCTCGCCCATCTTGTCCGATGCCAAGACGAAGATAAAGAGAGACAATTGATGTCAATCCTCAGCGCTACCAAGCATAAAGCTCATGCCTTTATGTGCGGTCTCTTCACGGGTCCAGAACAGAGGAAACAACCAGTTCTAACGTTTGTGAGAGAGTTTTACCAAGGGATTGATTACGAACTCGAAGAAGGAGCTGCTAGATACTTTGTCAATGTCCTTCTCAACTACCTTGTCTTGATGGGTCAAATAAACCGAGCTCGATGTGTCTGGAAAGTAGCCTATGAGAACAAACTCTTTCCAAAAGCCATCGTCTTTGACCAACACATTGCCTGGTCTCTGGATGTGAGAAACTTATCGGTTGGAGCTGCGCTCATAGCAGTGGTTCACACTCTCCACAGGTTCAGAAAACGAATGCTTTACTACGGTGTAGTCCCGAGACGTATAAAGCTAGTCACAGGACCGACACTGAAGATTGTAATTGCTCAGGTGCTGAGCTCTGTTGAGTCGCCTTTTGAGGTCAGCAAAGTTGTGTTGAGAGCACCGGGAGATTTGGTCATGGAGTGGTTCAAGAAACCGATCGTGCAACAGTTTCTTCTGAATGAGATCCCGTCTCGGTCTGATATATTGATGCATAAGATGAACGTGATGTTTCCAAGCTCGGCTCCTGAGCTTAGATCTATGTCACCTCCCAAACCACTCATGTCGTCGAAGGCGTTCTAACTTTTTGAATGACCCTCGTTTTCTAGTTGGGCTCTGTTTCAGATCTCTCATTGTTAATACTTGTCTTGAAATATAATGGAAACTATATTTACGCCTTTAATTACTTGTTAGTTCATTTACGCCTATAATGGATTAAAACTGGAAAGGTTGTGTCGTTTTGATAGCAGAAAGTGAATTGTAGCAAATAAATCTCTGCGTGTATCTTTACGTCCTTATCCTGGATAAGAATTAATCTGTCCATGTGTCCAAACACCATCTCTCAGTTAATTGCTCAAATTTACGACGCACTTAAAGATGAGAGGAGATCTCAGTTCCCTTCTTCACTCACTCTGCAACTTCGAGATCACGGCAAAGGTCAGATTCCTTATCTCTCCATTTCTTATTTGCTTCGTTGCAGAGAAGAATTAGGTTTTCCCGATCTTTGGATTCTGATTCGGATTTTCGAGTTGTTCGGCGATAAGAATGGCGGCAACATCACCATTGTACAATCAGCTCAAGGTTTGAGAGTCTCGCCTTTTTGTTTTCAGAAAGTTGAATGTTCGCTTCTTATGGTAAAATCGAGTTTGATTATAGGTTGAATATTATAGGCTGCTGAACCATTCTTCTTGTTGGCTGGTCCAAATGTGATCGAATCCGAGGAACATATTCTTCGAATGGCAAAGCACATTAAAGACATTTCCACAAAGTATGATTCCTTGTACTTGGTATTACCAATAATGTTTTCATTGCGTGTTTCTTGCTTCATTAGCTCCGTTTTTTTTTTCCTCAGAGATCTTTGTATGGATGTGTATTGATCTGTATATGAAAATTGATTACAGTGGAGCACTCAATTGAAAGATGGACTTTGAACAATGTGTTTTCCTTTTTCAAGATCCTTATGCTACTTTTTTTGTGTGTGTGTGTGTGAATGGTGTAGAGTTGGGCTGCCTCTGATTTTCAAGTCAAGTTTTGATAAAGCTAACAGAACTTCTTCAAAGTCATTTCGAGGTCCTGGCATGGCCGAGGGTCTGAAGGTATCTTTCCCCTGTTTACCTTTAATCACTCTTTGGGATGTTTAAATGTAGATGATTTGGATGTTACGACTATGGAACCTTCACAGAGTTTTGATGTTAGATGGATCTTATATATGAAATTTTAAGTTCTGCTAGGACCTTTGGATTGAATTGATGGCAGCAATTGCATTACTTTTCCCCTATGATGCTACCATTTACTTGAACGTGAAATTGCTTTAATTTTCCATTATTTCTGAACAAGAATACTACTGGTCACATTTATGGTTCTCCAATGCAGATTCTTGAGAAGGTGAAAGTAGCATATGATCTTCCAATAGTTACTGATGTTCACGAATCAAGCCAGGTATAAATGAACGTATCCATATAAACGAATTGAGATTTAGCAAGTCTTTAGTACTTTCTAATGTGTTATTTTATTTTCTTAGTGTGAAGCAGTTGGCAAGGTTGCAGATATAATTCAGATTCCAGCATTCTTATGTCGCCAGGTGAGACTCTAAACTGTATTTTCCTCAAAGCTTTTGATTGTATCTTTCAAACTTTCGTTCTTGGGTTGATGATTTAAGTTGTTAATTGTAATTCCAGACAGATCTTCTGGTTGCAGCAGCACACACCGGAAAAATTATCAATATTAAGAAAGGACAATTCTGTGCTCCTTCTGTGAGTTCTTTCTTCCTGCGTTTTCAAGCTGATCAAAATATTTTGCTGGAATACTTTTGATGACTGGGTGTATGCTAAGGTCATGGAAAATTCAGCCGAGAAGATCAGACTGGCTGGGAATCCAAATGTTATGGTTTGTGAAAGAGGAACCATGTTCGGATACAGTAAGTTATCATCTCCTTTTCAGATATTTTTTGTGTCCACGGAATTTAGCATTTTAGATATTCTCAAATCTCATGCAAATCTCTTGGAACTAATAAAAATTGAATTGCTGAAGTATACATCAGAGGGTGCTAAAACAATATTTTTTGTCTGCCTTTACAATTGTCTGACTGATACTCTGTTTGGTTTTGATTATCAGATGATTTGATAGTAGATCCACGAAACTTTGAGTGGATGAGGGAAGCTAATTGTCCTGTTGTATGTATCTTGCTTCATCTTTTCTTTTTCATATTTTGCTTATTCTGCTTTATGTTCTTCAATTACAATCTACAATCTAACATACACCTTTTAATTCTTGGCAGGTCGCTGATATAACCCATTCACTACAACAACCTGCAGGCAAGAAGGTATGATCCTTTTGGATAGTAAATTTTTTATTTATTTTGAAGCCAGCAATAACCAAATAGTTTGAACACGAACAATACATTCTTATGTAGTTGGATGGTGGTGGTGTTGCTAGTGGTGGCCTTCGCGAGTTAATACCATGCATTGCAAGAACAGCTGTAGCAGTTGGGGTCGATGGAATATTCATGGAGGTAGGATACCTTGTTTGACACCACTCAGGCAATACCACATACTTTTAGACATTTTATCACGTTCATTGGATTATTGGTCATATACTCCTGGATTCATTGTTCCAACTTGATTATGATCAGGTTCATGATGATCCTCTAAGTGCTCCAGTTGATGGTCCAACTCAATGGGTGAGTTTTATGTCCTACTCAATGTTTACGAAAGTATCCATCTCTTTCTTGCAATGTTGTGAATATTCTTGTGTTTTTTCATTGTCAAAGCCTTTGCGCCATTTAGAAGAACTCCTGGAAGAGCTCATTGCGATTGCGGTAACCCTTTTCAATGGATTTTTGCTCTTTGGTTCCCATTTTTGTTTCAAGGAGCTCTCTCCTTGAACACCATTAACAATGACAAGATCTTGATTCTTAAATTCCGCAGAGGGTCACAAAAGGGAAGCAGCGGCTTCAAATCGACCTTACACCCTACCGTGATTAAAATCAAAGGCTCAGTTCAGTAGTCCCGAGGTTAGTGACCCAAACGGGGGATATATGATATGACTTTCTCATCATTGAAATAATTCCCACAAAAAAAAGAAAAATGTTTATAACTTTCTCACTTTCAGTGGAGACTAGTTGCAAAAACTGTGAATGTTTACAGAAGAACCATGTTAATGCATCAGCTGTCATCACTGTTCTTGTTTACAAGAAGTAACAGAACAGAGATTGCTTCTGAAAAGCTGAGCTTCTCTTATATTGGTTTGGCAATTTTCTTATTCATTTATTTGAAACATTTAGGTCTACTCGTCAGACATTTGGGTCCCCAGCAAATCCTGGAGATTAGAGGATCCGAGTCAGTAGTGATGAGCCTTTGTTTCTGTTTGCTCCAGACTTTTGCAATATTCACTTCAAAAAGTAATTCGAACTAAGATAATATTGAGCTATATAATATATACACAGAAATACGGTTGTATATGCGTGGTTTCTCTCTGATTTGTGTACTTGGATAATATATCTGTTGAACATTGTAATAAATTTCTCGTGAACGGGAAGCCTAGTCGTGCTTGATTTGCGCTGGATACAGCACTAAATCCAACAAAACATCGGTGGGCTTAAGCTGAAATATGGTCCAATGGGCTTAGTAATGGGCTTGGGCTATATATGTCAAGACTAAGGCGGTAAATTCAGGGTCATAATTCGTCTCTATTTCAAAAATTGTCTCAAATGATTAAAGCTTTCACAACAGTTCCTCTTTCTCGGTTCTCGCTCTCTCGAACGTGGAGCATACCAGAAGACGGCAGATGTGAGGAAGAAGACGGTCTTCGCGAAGGTAAATCTCACGGAAACCCTAAGTTTCTTTATGATTCTAATTGATAGTTTATCCGCATTCCTTGATGATGTAGCCAAAGAGGTACGGCGACCTTGTTCTATGTGAAATCTTAAGTTTAAGTTAGGGTTTCGCTTCGTCCTCTAATGGTGTAGAGATCAGAGTAATTTTCGCCTATTGTTTATTTCTGTGAGCAGCGTTGATAATATAGACAAGGGATTGGAAATTCTAATTACGGATTCCATGAATGATCAAAGCCTTTCTCATTTCTAATCCACTCATTATTTAATTATGCCTCTTTTCTTCTCTGGATTAACTAAAGATAAAGTCTCCTTGAAAACCGCCATGAAGAAGAAGAATTGATCTCTTGCATTTTGAATTAATTATGCCTCTTTTCTTCTCTGGATTAACTAAAGATAAAGTCTCCTTGAAAACCGCCATGAAGAAGAAGAATTGATCTCTTGCATTGTGAACCATAATTAGTCTTGTGTATAGGATTTAATTTTTAAGCTCTGAGACAGTTCCTAATCTTTAGTGTTAGTGTATCTCTTGTATTTTTAGCTTTTGATTATTCTAAACCGAAGTGCTGATGCAGGCATAAAACCCAGCTTTGGGCTTTTACTTGGGAACATGGAATTTTTATCAACTGGCTAATTGAAGCGAGTATTATTAGTTCACTGTAATAAAAAAAATTCAACTTGATTTTGCCTTTTCAATTATTCTTCCCCATGTAGAGTTCTTTACCTTGATCGTTGCTTATATGGTTGTTGGTGCACTTTCAAATTTGATCTGACGCCTAAGACTCTCTACCTTGCAGTGAACTTGTTAGATTGCTAATACAGAGGAAATGCGTAGTTGATCGGTCTCACTGCATTTTTTCTTACATCTAAGTAGGAGGACTATTGGCATCACAGGGTAAGAGATATTAAGATTTACACTTATGTACTGTTTTCAAACTAGCGGAATATCTTCCCCCTATCCATTCAGATCATAAATTTCATTAGCATCCCAAACTTGTTTTGAGATTGTTTGGACATGACCTCAGCAAGAGGTATTATATATATATACCTTGCTTTATTATTTTCACTCTTCTTATCGATTGCTTACCTGAATCTTACAGGGGAGAGCAGCCAATATGATTAACTTTTTCTTCGCATCCCTTCGGGCAAAAGGTAAAAATCTCTGGCTTATGATTCCTTTTACTTCATATGGGTGACTTCAAAAAACTCATGTTCATCACCCACAATGATGCATAGAAATCTGACTTCTTTGGATTACCCCAAGTTGTCCTACTTTGATATTCCCTTTGAGATTAAGAGAGAATGTGAACCTGGTATATTATGCTGGCATACATTGTGTCTGGTTTCAAGGGATATAATTCTGCTTGATCGTAAAGACAAATCATCATCAATGTGTATTATATAACAAAACAACTGTAATGAATTCTGTTTACATTCAATAGGCAAGTTGTACAAGCTCATGAGTATTATTGGTTCCCTACCCTCTTTGATATTTGAAAACCTAAGTCAACCACATCTACTCATCTGCATATGCTTGCACACATATTTATACTATCTGCAATGTAACAGTATATATATACGCCTGAGTGTTGCCTAACGGCACTATGAGCATGCGACGAAATGGTCTTGCACAAGCATGTGCTCTTCTTGCTTGTCTAATGTCCTTTGCACTGCTTTGTAGAACTCAATCCAAGAAGATGAGTATGAATCCACGGCGCCAAACATGAAAGTTGGATTGGGGCTTGCAGGGCAAGCAGTGACCAAATCCAAAACAGAAGTTGCAGGTTTGAGCTGGTGAGGGAAGTTGAAGGCCAAGTTATCGACTTTATGCTCATAGATTTTGCCGTTTCGGTCAAGTTTATAGCGAGAAGTACCCTGAAACTCACCCTTTGCCTCCCATGGAACTGGAGGTACACCTTTAAGATTCCACCTGATGAGAATCATGTTCTCTGATGGTTGCCAAACCCTGAAGATCTCAAGTGAGATATCCCTGAAGAGAATCTTGCCATGAAATCTGAGTGCCCAGAAGATCAATTTGTACTTGTCAATCCCAGAGAATGTGTTCATTGGATCCACAAAGGTTATATCATCCCTGAAAGAGCAAACAAAAAGAATCTGATTTATTTAGTCGGATGATTAATTTCTAGTTCTCATCGACAGATCACCCAAAGGAGAAGAGAAAAAAACCTGTAAATGTCGTAATTGAGATCTTTGGTGAAGAGAAGAGGCAAATCTTCACGAAGGGTACGTACAGCTAAACCGAGATTGATGTAGAAGTCATCTTTGCCGTGCTGGTACTTATCCTGCGCACTCGGTTTGGTCTTAACCTGCGCACCTCGAACAGGAGGAGGAGCCTGGACGCTAAAGAGAGAAAGTGGAGAGAGAGTATCTTCGTCAAACTCGTAGCTATTGGAAGAAGACGATGATGATGATGATGATAAAGCTTGGCTGGAAATGGGTTTGTCTTTGAGTGATTTTCCGGTCGGAAGAAGGAAAGAAGGAGAGAGATTGGGGAGAAGAAACGCCATAGCTGCTGGAGTTTAGAGCTTCTCTTGTTTTCTCTTGTCTTAATTTTTCAAGGCGAAGTAAATCAGAGGGAGAGGAGGATGAGTTGAGAAGAGCGAAGATGCCCGAAGAAGCTTTGTTGGAAGATAAACAGCTGTTCGTTTTTTGAGTGGTAATCAAACCTTCGCGTTGTTCTTTTTCTTCTTTTTCTTTTCTTTAATTTTGACTTATTTTTATTTGGTGTTCAAAAAAAAAAAAGACTTATTTTTATTTCTTTTTCTTCTTTTATTTGCTATATATATATATATTTAATATGAACAAAATAAAAAGCTACTGAAGCCACCAAAAATATCAAAAAAACGTAGTAATTTATTTAATTATTTTTAATATTTAAATGATTTTTTTAGGAAAATATTTGTACATTATTAAAATACATTATAGTAACAGTAATTTTGGAAAATAAAATTTCATGTTTAATCTCACATTTATAATACTATGTTATCGTATAAAAAAAACTTTGGTTTATATTTCCCTTGCCATAAAGAATTCTTATATTTTTTGATTTTTGAAGATATTGTCTACTATACTTTTGATTTGTTTCTAAACATATTCTATTTATTTTTAAAAATAAAGTGTAATCAAATTAAAGTTGGTTAAGAAATAAAAATGTTGATTATGTTATCCAATAATAAAAAGAAAAAAAATTCAATTGAAATTAAATTGGTGATAAAAAAAAAGTGGTGGGCAGAAACAGTTTCATTGACGAAGATTTATTGGTTAGTTACTCTAGTGTTTTTAAAATAAAAAGAAAAAGCGATAGTCATACGAATTAGTAGAAAATCATAAAAAAAATAAAAAATCTGTAAAATGGGCGAAAGCCCGAAAACGAAAAGGCCGGAATTAAGAAAGCCCACACAAGAAAATATTTGTATGGTGAATATCAATTTGAAAACAAAATAACCAGGCGCACAATAAGCGAGTTATCAACACGCGCCTCAAATCTGTAGGTTAACAACCCCTTTCGAAATTACCTAATTTTGTTTAGTTGGAAAAAGTACGCGCGTGAAACTTTTAAGTTTCAACTCTCGCTCAACTAATTTTTTTTTCAGAGATTTGGAAAAATAACTTTGCCTTCGATGAGAATCCACTAAAATAGTAGGGTCTTTCAAGCCAGGTTCTGTCATATTTGCTAAGACTAATTTCTAAACCGTTGTTCAATTTTGTTAATCAAAAATTTTATGCTTGATCGTCGAAATATGCTTTTTTGTTATTTTTTGTTTGGCAGGTGTGATACGATTTGTGATCCTCGCCAGACGGAAACAATGGCTAGAAAGCCACTATGTGGGATACTGAATTTGGGATAAAATAACCAATAAATCTAAATATTATCATATGGCCGGTATCATTAATACATTCAGGGCTTGTAGTCAAAATTACAAGCGTACTTGTCCATTTTGGTATTAGCATAGATTACGGAGATGGTAAAATTGGGCCATAGCATAATCAAACAAAGCTTTAATCCTCCACAAAATTTCAGTATCTACAAATCGATCTGTCTATCCAATGATTCGAGACTACAAAAAAGTCTGGACAATAAAAATTTGATGTTGGTTATACACGAGATACGGAAATCTCACATATAAGTAAACCTAATTTTGAAATCTCACATATAAGTAAACCTAATTTTGAAAACATTGGCAAGATTTGGTCAATAATATAGGAACATCGATCATATTGGCTAAAATATAACTGATAGCCAATTGTTAGATCTTTGCCCCAAATAAGTATTGGCAACGTACAGCGCTTTATCCACTATTGAATAAGTGAATCAGAGACTCTAATTTATTGCCTTTATAAAGCTAACCAAGTTAAAAACCACAAATCCGAAGATAACCAGAATGAGCGAAACATGTAAGGGCTTTTGAATGCACATGGAACTATCAAACCTAGACCAAGTGCCAGAATATCGCCTTATCTATTTCGGCAACGTACAGCGCTTTATCCACTATTGACATAAGTGAATCAGAGACTCTAATTTGTTGCCTTTTGTATCACCAAACTACGATTTCAGGAAGAAAAAAACATAGCAGATTTCAAACAAACTAGGCTCAGATTATAAAAAGAAGTATACATCAACGAGGTATGAATCTCTCAAAGTTTGATGGTAATCTTGTTTCATCATCAGCGCCTAATACAGTTGAACACAAAATAAAACTAATGAATTAGAATTCCCAATGGCGAAATCGAAAACAAAACTGTATAAACCTAGAGAGAAACAGATCTAAAGCCTCAGAAAGTGGAGGTAATCGTCAATGAGAATCTCAGATGGTACGGACAATCTCAAACATCACAGGCTACGATCCTAAGATAACCTACAATTTAAAATACAAGAATCGAAAGAAGAATAAATCAGTTTGAAACAAAATGGAAGAGCTCGCTTGGTGGATGTAGGAACCAGTGGAAAAGACGGCTTTATATAGCGACGATTCTCAAGAAACCCTAAAGAAAGAGTAACAAAGCCGACTCAGTTGGGTGATAAATGGGCCTATAATCTACTAACATGCATTCTTAATTGGGCCTCAATCATTTCCTAACGAGCAGTAACTCGGGCCGAGTATTTCAAATTACACGTTAATGGGCCATAACCTTAGGCCTGTAACAGTCTTTAAGTTTTGTCGGTTTCTTTTTCATTTTCACCTGACAAAAGGACCAAATCGTTTCTAACAGTGTCACTCACACATATTGGAGGATTGATTTAAGGTTTCATCTTTTGTGGACTAGTACATAGGGAAAGAAAAAACAACAAAAACCCTAGAGAAATCAAAAGACTACCTGCTTAATTTATTATCCATTAACCTATTGGGATATTCAAACCTTGCATTTGTGTTCGGGACGATGAGTAAACTCAAAGTCAATATGGACAAAAGCTCTCTCAACCTCTGAGAGTTGCTCCAGCTTCTCCTGAAGAGTTTCTCCTATGTTGTGAGCTTCATGCAGCCTCATGTTCTCTGGCAACACAATGTCAACTTCCACAAAGTAGTGTGACCCAAACGTGTAGGCTCTCACTGTGTCTATGTGTTTTATCTTCTCGTGATGGTTCCATATCAAGAACGTTAGTTTCGCCAAGAAATCCGGTGGTGCTGAGCGTCCTATCAGTGAGTGGACATTCTCTAGAACCGTTCTTGCCCATGTGCTGATTGTGTACAGAGCAATCTGGAAACCATAAAGAATAAACGTTTTCTCAATCTATCTCTTCACAAGAGACATTTCAAGAATGGATAAGGTTGATGATCATTTACTTACTAATATAGCCCCAGAGGGATCAATCCACCAGTAGAATTTTACAGCTAAAACAGCTGTTGCTAAACCGACTGAATTGGTGATAACATCAAAGAGGTGATCTTGTGCATAGGCCCTAACAATTTCGTTCTGGAAACTCCTGCAATAAAGCATGAGCAGAAACTTGACGACTGTAGCAGAAGCCATTATTCCAATCATCCATTTTTCCTCTGTGCTACTCATATGAGAACCCTTCTATACAATGAGAAAGATTAAATTAGATTAGATTACATAATATAACTGGTAAGGCCCCTGTTAGGAGTTTGCGAGAAAGGATCGAATGAGGAAAACCCGTGTTGTACCTTGGAAACAAGTAGCCTGGTTGACTCTAGTATCACTTGTAGTCCAAGAGTTGCCATCACGGATGCAAACACAATGATTCCCTGTCAAATTTTTAAGCACTATGCTTTTAGTTTCGTGAGTTTTAAGGGAAGCAATGAGAGAATTACAGAGACTATACCACAGGTTGCATCCGTCGTTTTCCAATTGGATAGCGAAAATTGTTTGGTGTTCTCATGGCATTAGCAGTAAACCATAGAATAAATCCAGACAAGAGATCTAAGAGAGAGTCCAAAGTGGAAGCAATGACAGCCATAGATCTACTTTCCACAGAAGCATAAACCTTTGCTACAAAAAGCACAAGGTTTGCTGCGTTTGAGATGTGAACAGCAAGCCTCTCGCTCTTTGCAAGCTTCTTCAATTCTTCCTGTTGAAATCAACAAGAAGCTACGGATGAAGAAACTGGACGAAAGATCTAAGTGAAAGATTTTCAGAAGAAGCCTAAATTAAGAAAGCAAGAGTGGTACCTCAGTTGGAGCTCCAGATACAAAACCAGTTTCGTTAATTGACTCCATCTCATTGAAACCCTCCAGGAGCTTCTCTTGCTGCTTGTAGTACTCAGAGACTTTGCGTTCCTTTTCTGATTTTTTACAAGAGAAAAGAGTAAAACCCATGTTAAAATTTAGGTAACCTGTTTACTGATGATTCAAACTTGTATAACGATCTCGATACTTGATGGTTTTTTATCATGATAACATCAATCTACAATGCGTAAAAACTCCGAAGGAATATGATTCTGTGTCCCTATGACACTAGAAATAAAGAAATGATAATGTTTCCCCAACGTTGCTTGCACAACCAAAAGAATATTCCCAGATTCACTTAGAATCTCATATATGCTTCAAAGAAAACAGAGGTTTTGCAAAATAGAAAGCTTAAATTACTTTTGAATCAATACAGATGCTTTCAAACAGAAAATTCGATAAAATCACTGTAGAATTTCATAGGGTTCACCTATTGGATACAGCGTACGTATATACTACAACCAATTGCGTAGGGTTAAATAATCAATTTCTGTACTGAACAGGTTCCAAAGGAAAAAGAGTAATCGGAGATTAGAGTGACATTTTCTGGCGTGAATCATGTAAACACGTAACAGTACATCGATTATACACATAGAGACGAAACGCAACGCAGGAACGGAGATTTGAAGACAAGGACGAGGAAGAGAAACTTACTCGGAGTCCGGAGATAACGAGACAAGCGAGTACGGCCGTTGTGGCGGCCAGATGATAACGGAGAAGAAGAAGGGAGGCGAAATGTGTCGAGGCTGAGACGCCATGAAGATGGTGGCGAATCGTCTTCGTCAATTGGTAAAAGGTCGACATTGTAGTCTCCTCCACTGAGGCCGTGATGCTCCGTCGCCGCCATAACCGATCGCTCTCGCTCTGCTGATTTTTGGGGGAAGTTACGAGAGAATCAAAACTTGTTGCTTATTTTTTGGCCCCTTTTTTGGAACTTTAGGTGTTGGCCAAAAAGGCCACGTATGTATTTGTAGAAATGTCCAAACTCCTTTTCTTAATCAAAAACCTTGATTAGCAACAAAATATAATTATTTTCATATAAAGTTGAACATACAAATCACAAACATGATATAACTAACTACTATAAAAAATAAGATATAACTAACTACTATACATGCATAAAAGTGTTTAATTATACACATACTAGGTCCGGACCCGCACATACGTGCGGGCTTTTATATTTTAAAATATGCGGGTTGAATATTTGTTGTATAACATATAGTAAAAACGGGTTTAACATATAGTGTTGTATAACGTATGTACGGGTTTTTTTGTTTGATTGGCTAAAAAGATTGGAAAGAATAATTAGTAAGAATTATATAATTTTGATTGGTGAATGATTGGATATCTTGGTTTGGTTTTGTTGAATTATTGAGAAAGTTGCAAAATTGGTTGTAATATTTGTGAAACCAAATTATTATTTTGATTTATATTGTATATTTTTATTTCTTAAACTATAAAATGATTTGTTTGGTGAAATAAAATTATTGTGTTGCATAAGAGATGTTGTAAATAAATATGTGTTTTTGTTGTATGTAAATATGTGAATTTTATATAAAAAAAAACATTTTGGTATCAGATAATAAAATAGATAGAGTAATTTTTGAAATATAAATGTTTTTTCAATTTTCCAATGTTTAAAATAAATTTCCTAAAGGAATTTGTTTTGTGTTAAATTGGTTTTAAATTTTGAATTTATGTATAAATA